TCTAGTAATTAAATAAAAATCATTTTGAAATATATTGCCATGTGACTAAAAGTTGAATTATCATGTTATTCAGTATTGTACCATAAAACCCTCAAGACCGGTTGTTGACATTTTTGGTAAGTTTATAAGAGGCGGAGTAATAATCTTATTAGGAATAAACTAATTAGTTGTTGACTCAAATTTTATAGCAATAAATTACTTAGTTGTTGACTCAGATTTTATAGCAATAAATTAATTAGTTGTTGACTCGAATTTTATATAAGATTTAGTACCAGTGGAGAAATATAAGTAAAATTTAAGAATGGGTTTGTATCTAGTGCTTGTTGTGCTATCTTCTTATTTGTTTTTGACGCAATTGGCAGAAGGAAACAGTACTGTAAGAGTCTATAACTTTTTCTTTGTTTTCCAGACTTTAAAATTTGTTTGTTTTTTTTTAAGAAGAACTAATTTTGTAGAAATTTGGTCTTTAAGATTTGATTTTGTAAGGAGAATTGATTTTGTAGAAATTTTTACAGGATTTTGATTGTGTTGATATTTACGAACAACCAGCTTTCCAACATTCATTACTGAAACACCACAAGATTCGGGTATGATGGAGACCTTGTTTCTATCAAATATATTTAATTAAGCATAATCTTGTGACCATATTTTTTTTTAATTTAATCTTTTTCTTTGACAGGAAAAATTCAGTTTGGATGGAACCCTAAACAACAAAAATATATATAAAACAAATTTTCAAAGTTGTGCAAGAGGAACAGTACCAATTTTAAGACAGAAAAATGAAGCTGAAAACATTCATTTTGACACCGTCGAATATCCTGGCCAACATGTAAAATTTTAATTTTATTCTTTTTGGTTTTATTAAATATATTTATATTTACCATCCCATATAATTTTTTTAAAATAATTCACATCACATTCTTACATTTTCTTTAGTGTTCTGATTATGACTCATTCAAAAAATGAATTTTTGTGTTTTTTTATTGAAGGTTTGCAACGATCGAAACTGTTTTGGATGGGAGTATCTACCGAGGAGCACAAG